ACTGGGGGGAGGGAAAGTTGCTGCTACCCACCCTACAATGCACAAGGCAGCCCTGCAACAGTGGCCCAAAACATCACTAGTGCTGAGGCTGAGAAACCCTGCTGTGTAATAATAATATTCCATCATGTGAATATACCACGATTTATTTACCCACGTATTCCTTAGAGCCTCAACTTCAGCATTCATGACCATTATACAGCTCAGGCCTGGCTTCGAAATTCTTGAAACTATGCTTACCACAGTCACATCAGACTAAAAAAAATTACCAAACAGGATATGCTTTTTACATTTAGGATATGTGTTAGAATCAAAATGAAGTATTATGTGTAGTCTTGGTCATAGACAAAAATTGTATATTTTGGAATCACTACAAGAATTTGAACAGATTCTCAATGAGAGAATGAAATGGGCTAAATCAAGTAAAGATGTGAAGGACTATTGTTAAAAACAGCTTTATTGAAGTATAATTTACATATCATAAAATTCATCTAATTTAAATGTACAATGGAAAGATCCCTAGTAAATTTATAGAATTGTGCAACCCTCACCACAATCTAATTTTAGAACATTTTCATCACACCAAAAAGATCCCTTGTGCCCATTTGTAGTCACTTCTGTCCCTAGCCTGAGTCCCAAGAAACCAACAGTTTACTTTCTGTCTCCAAAGATTTTCCTTTTCTGGTTGTTTCCTACAAATGGAAACATAAAATAGGTGGTCTTTTGTGTCTGGCTTCTTTCACTTTGCATAATGTTTTCAAGGTTCATGCATGTTGTAGCAGATATCATTACTTTATTCGTTTTTATGGCTGAATAGTATTCCATTGTATTTGTGTGTCACATTTTGTTTATCCATTCACAAGTTGATGGACATTTGGGTTTTCAGTAGGGACTGTCATGAAAATGAACATGGAGTATTTTTCTTTTAATTGAAGTCTAGTTGATTTACAATGTTGTCTTAATTACTGCTGCACAGCAAAGTGAGTCAGCTATGTATATATATTATATATATACATATATATTCTTTATATTCTTTTTCATTATGGTTTATCACAGGATACTAAATATAGTTCTCTGTACTGTACAGTAGACCTTGTTGTTTTTCCGTTCTATATATAAAAGCTTACATCTGCTGACCTCAACCTCCCACTCCATCCTTCCCCCAACCCCCTCCCCCTTGGCAACCATCAGTCTGTTCTCTATGTCTGTGATTCTGTTTCTGTTTCATAGATAGGTTCATTTGTGTCATGTTTTAGATTCCACTTATAAGTGATATAATATGGTATCTGTCTTTCTCTTTCTGACTTACTTCACTTAGTATGATAATCTCTAGTTACATCCATGTAACTATTTCATTCTTTTTTATGGCTGAGTAATATTCCATTGTATAAATGTACCACATCTTCTTATCCTTTCATCTGCGATGGGCATTTAGGTTGTTTTCATGTCTTGGCTATTGTCAATAGTGCTGCTATGACATAGGGGTGCATGTATCTTTTTGAATTATAGTTTTGTTCAGATATATGCCCAGGAGTGGGATTGCTGGATCATATGGTAGCTCTATTTTTAGTTTTCTGAGGAACCTCCATATTGTTTTCCACAGTGGCTGCACCAACTTACATTCCCACCAACAGTGTAGGAAGGTTCCCTTTAACATGCAGGATTTTGACGCATAGCTAGGTAAATGGCAAACACAAGTAGACTTTTGAAGAAAGGATATGATTCTGGGTCAGATAATCTGTATTATTTTCAAGGATAATTTGACCAATTAAAAAAAAGAATAGGAAGGGGAAAAGACTGGAGAATGATACAAGGAATATTAGACTTGCAGGAAAAGGAAACCTCTGACATTTACCCATACAGACCCTAGCACTTTTGAAGGCATTTTATAACCAAGTAGCCTAAACTACAGGGCAGCAAAGCTCTGCCTTAAGGCGAAAGGTAATAGATAATTGGTTGCACTAAAAGAAGTTCATTAAACACGCCTCGTTTTAGTATCTTATGTTAAAATAAATCATAACTCAAAAGGAGAGACCATTACCAGAATGGATACATAAGGGACCAGCATATCCATTAACAAAGAATGGTATAGAGAAAGGGGCACTCAGGTGAAGTCAGGGCTTATACTTCATTGGATTGTGAAGATCACAGACAAAAGCAGCACGAGAGTATTCTTTAAATCATAAGGCAATCTCTACAGATATTAGGGCTTACCCCTTACTAAATAATGTAAGACCCCCCCGAGGCTAAGCACATGGAAATTGGTCGTTGAGAGCCAAAGTAATTACCTAGAGGTAGAATTGCCTCCTCTGGAGCTGAATTTGTGCCAAACACCAGTGGAATGGGGAGCTCCCAAAGTAATGAACCCCTAACCCCACACCCTTCACCTTCACTGAGGGTGTTCACACAGTGGGAACATATTCTTTAGCCCCATGGGATCGTGCGGTTTCATGGAATGGAAGTTGTTCATTTTACTAGACCTGAATAATTATGCAATAGGTGTAGGTGTGAGGGGTCAGGTGAGAATAGAGAGGGTCAGAACACTTGACGTAAACAGGTTCCTTCTCCTTTCCTCCCCTTCTCACTCCCTCCTTCCAAGGCATAACTTTTTTTTATATAAATAAACAAAATTCTTAGCATAGTAACTAAATCTCTTCTTTTTATGCAATAGAATAAACAAGATAAGGGACTTCTCACATTACAAAAAGACATCCTTCTCAAGGATTTGTTTATACAGCATTACATATACAACATTATATACTCAGTAAGGCAAAATGAAGCTGAACTGTTTAAAAAATTAAGGTAAAGCAAATCTTATAAGTTTTTTTTTCTCATTTTACTAGAAAGGAAGCTAAACTATATCACAAGTTCAAGTTCATATTGTTGGCAAACCTATTAGTGTTTTCCAAGCTTATTTGGCCAATGCCCACTTTTTTGTTCCCACAGAAAACCATAATCTCTCGAGGGACAGTCTGAAGAACACAGTTTGTGAAATGTTGATATGGCCAGACTTCATTTATGGTTAGCGCCTTATTTACATTACAGATTGAACTCTCAAATGAATCAGATTGGTTAGTTTAGATGAGAAATTGAGTAGCACTTCATTCCCATTCAACAAAGTACCAGATTTTTCTAGTGCCTCCGATGAGGTAAGTTGGCTCTACTATTACTGACCATAAATAATATGACATCTGGCACCACTCGTCAGCCAATTGCATTGCTTCACCCAAATGAATTATTTGTCTTGAAATCTTACCCTCAACATTCTAATCACCCAATCTAAGTTGAATGAATATTTGTTGTCTTTAGTGTGTGTATATTCAGGCTTAATCTGGCACTCTGGCTGCCAGAAAACATGTAATCTCTGTAAATAACAGATAAAACAAAATTAAAGTCTAATATTGGAAAATGTAAATGACATCCAAACTTTTTAAATCATATTTGTATCATGTCATTTCAAAGAAATTCAAGTGTGCATTTCTATCCAGGTTCAACAAATGTCCTATATGAGAGAGAAAGAGAGAGAAAGAAGGAAGGGAGGGAGAGAGTAGAGGCAAGGGGTGGGTGGGGAGGGAAAGGAAACACAAAAACTATAACTTTTGCTTGCCTGATCCAGGTTCCCATCTTGGGAACCTGGATCAGGCAAGCAAAAGTTATAATTTTTGTCCATAAAAGATCTGAGTTTGCTTAAGTTTTGTCCATAAAAGATCTGTGTTTATGTCCATAAAAGATCTGTGTTTGCTTACGTTTTGCTGAGTTAGTTTGTTCCCATGGGTCTTACTGAAGAGCAAAGCATAACACGCAGCACCCCTCCCTGAGTCCTGCTGGCACAAATCAACAAAGGGACAGCTTGTGAGGTAGGTACACAGAATCCGGTTGGCACAGCCTTGAGGCTGATTTTTCCACTTGAACCAATAAAACCTTTGTTTTTTGAAGCAGATTTAATAAGTAACATCCAAACAGGGCATCTTTATAATGTACACTCTGAGAGGATTTCCCAGGGCTATATAAAACCACCTTAACTCAATGGGAGTCGTTCTCTAAAAGCTTGAGTTGGAGCTTTAAGATTAAGTCCTTAAGATGGAAAGTGCATATATGATAATCACGCAGAATATTTGTAATAGATAAAAGTTATGAAGCACGGCATCTAAAAATATGTTTGAAAAAGAAAGAAAATATTTAGAAAAACAAGCATGAAACGATAAAGAATAGTCCCACCATCAATGTCAAACCATCTGCCTCAAATGAAGCTACTGCTGACAGTGTCGCTATTAGAAGATATGCAGAGCATGTAAGTGGGGATGGCTGCGGTGCTCCTTTTAGCCTCCTCTGCATAGGTAAGTGGAGGAGACTGAGTGAGTCAGAAGGAGGAGGAGTGTAGAGGAAAAACACAGTCAGATTGAGAGGTTGAGAGGGAGAGCCGAGCCAGTTGACTGCGCCCAGAGTGAAGACGAAGCATCTGGAAGCCTCTCTTGTTCATTCAAGGAATAGGGATAGAGGGTAAGGAGGCTTTTAAGCCCTGAGATGCAGTTTGTGCTTTCTCCACAGATTCTGAGGGTAGTGTAGAGTATTCCTAATTGTGTAGTTCCCACATGCAAACTAGGCCCAGAAGCACAACAGTTCAACAATGTGGGCCTTGTGTATGTCTGAGGGAATAACGCCTCACATCCACTCTGTTGCCATCACCTGACAAGAACCAAACAGAATTCTGTGGTGTAAATTTGCATTAGTGCGCAAAGTAGCCGCATAACGATCCTGCAAAATTGTGGTTGGAAATATTTTGTCTTGGTGTGGTTTCATGAAGGTTTAAAAACATGGTCAGGCATAGAGAACAGACTTGTGGTTGCCAAGGGAGAGGGGGTGTGGGAGGGAAGGACCGGGAGTTTGGGATTAGCAGCTGTGAACTATTATATATAGGATGGATAAACAGCAAGGTCCTACTGTACATATAGCATGGGATATATTCAATATCCTGTGATAAACCATAATGGAAAAGAGTATATATAAACAACAACAAAAAAAGGATGTCAATATGTGTTAAAAAAAAAAGGCATGGTCAGGGAACCAGTCTCACCAAGAGCCACTTTCAGGTTCCTCCACTTATTTAGAAACATTTTGCTTATACTACATAGAAGCAAAAAAGTAAGAGTTGATATGCAGCCTGCGCAGCCATTTTGAATCCGTTTATAGTCACATTGTATCCATACATGTCTACAAAACGCAGCAAAATAAAGAGTTGTGGGGTGATCTTAATGCATGATCAATGAAGACTGAAGCCAGCCCATGGGGTTAATCCAGTTAAAAAAAACCCTAGTCTTTCCCCTGCGGACCTAGATTTTTGCCTTGGCTAGCTGGATGATTGTTGCAGGAGTTTTCTTCTGTCTGCCTGTGTGAAAGCAGCCATGGGGTATGTGATTGAATGTAGACAGTTTGTCATTCAAGTTGTAGTTGCGAAGGTAAGCCATGTTCCATGTGGGTCCTCAAGGAAGGGTTCATCTCTGCCCATCACAAGTCTAGTTCACGGTGTGACATGTCAGTTGCACATTCAGCTGTCTCAGGAGGTCCACCTTGTCTTTGAACACTACACGTTATTTGCTTTGCCTGTTTTTGAGCTCTAGATAAATGAAATCATACAGTATGCACTCCTTTTGTGTCTGACTTCTTTCAACATTGTGTTTGCAAGACCCATCCTTATTATTGTACATCATTGTATATTGTTCATTCTCGTTGCTGTTAGCATTTCCATTGTGTGAAACACTGTGATTTACTTACCAGACTACTGTTGAAAGGCAGTTGAGTGTCTGTCAATATTTATAACAACCTGTGAGGTAGGTGCTATTATTCTGTCCATTTTGCAGATGGGAAAACTAAGGCTTTGAGCAGCTTTAGAATTCATTTATCTCAAGTCACACAGGCTACTGTGGTCTAGCCAAACTTGAGCCCAGGTCGCCTGACCTGAGAGCCTGTGATCTCCACCCTCAATCTATTTCTTTACTGAAGCAGTTCTTTGATCTGTTTTTTGTCTTCTGTCGTTTTAAATGATTCAGTTGTGAACCTATGGGAGCTGGACCAGGAGACAAATTTCTGTCACCGGACCACACATGAACTCATCCCTCCCCCTGAGACTAAAGCTTTGTTCCTAGGTCAAGTTTACTGAGCTTAGAGTAAGGGCTTGCCCAGGTGGTTCCAGTAGTTCACCTGATGTGTCCAGATCCCTGTAAATGCTGTGTGTGGTCTCAAGCTGGGCTCCCCACTTCAAAAATATATTTAAAAGCTGAAGAGACTCTTGAGAGGAGGTGTGAGCACATCTATTGTGTTAGTATATCTCTGGCTTTAACTGTTTTGGTTCTATGATACATGAAGAAACCTGAGGACTGTTTTGGGGTTTTTTGTTTGTTTTTCTATATTGAGGATTTTTTTTTTTTCTGTATTGAGCCTTCTATGGCTGTTTGTAGGAAAAGAAATGTTAGTTCATACTTTATTTTTTAAGAAAATTTTCACAAATGCATTTTTCTTCCTGTTGCTTCCTGGGAGACATTCAAGTGAAGGCTACAGATTAACATTGGAAAGAAAGACCAATTTTCTAGCCTGGGGGTCAGGAACCCAGTACAAGGAAGTTTATAGGAGGCCAGTTTTTGGCCTCTTCCTGGATGGAAATGGCGGAGCATAAACGGGACCACCCTCTCCCGAATTCCATCGTTAGTAGCAAATGAGATGTTCTGCTCTTGCGTCTCTTCATGACCATCTTAGAACAATGCAGAAGTTTGCTGGATCTTTGGTGTGATGACAGGAGAGAATACAGAGGAGACCTGCACCTCCCCTCAGAGGACAGACAATCCCTACCCAGGAAGGCAGCTCATCCACTTTGCTTCCTGCTCCGGAATATACGGGGTAATTTTGACAGCCTTCAAATCTGGATGGAAGTTTTGTTTGTTTTTGTTTTGTTTTTAAATGAAAAAGTTGATTGTTTATATATGTATAGGTAGGTTTTACAAATTTTTAAAAGGCATTAAATAAAAGTTAAATGTGCGGTCCACCCTCTGTAGAACTTCATCCTTTTCTTCCAGACACTCTCTTCCACTGTGGAATTTGTGAGCTGTGCTAGCCAGAAGAGCAGCAGTGTAAAAAAAAAAGGGCAATTTTACTCATTGGTGGTTAGAGGGGGAGGGTGCAGCTCTTTAAAAATGTTCGAATTCAGTCTTTCTCCATTTCTGAAACTGCCTTCTCTTCTCCGCAGTGTCTTCATATAATCATCCTCATGCCCCACCCCATACCCCCTTGCCCCGCCAGGATTCTGCATTCCATCTCAGCCACTCCCCTAGCCAATGAACCTGCTCACCACTTATTTCAAGGTAATGTGGGAAAGCTGTATTTCTTAAGATAGAGTATTAGGTCTTGCTGGAAAAAAATATCTAAACTTTGAAAAATATTATGTCTGACATTTCAGAACTGGCTGTAAAACTCTAGTCTCTTTAGATAACACGTACTGTTCTCCTATAATGTGTTTGTCTTTAGCAGTTACCAGTTTGGAACCAAGACTTTTAAGCTGTCCTTTCCCCTCTGATTGACATCAGAGAAGAAGGGCATTCCATTCCTATAAATTATTGAAAATAATTTATGAAGAGAGAATTTCATAAATGGAGCATAAAAAAAGAATGAGGCACAGAGATAAACATCTTCGGTGTTCAAATGGCTTATATATGTAGTAAAGGCAAGGCTAGAACTTATTTTCTGAGAAGTAAACCCCTAGTAAGGTGGCAGATAAAATACAAGATTTCCAGTTAAATTTGAATTTTAGATAAACAACAAATAATTTTTTAGTATAACTATGGCCCAAATATTGCACGGGACATACTGTATTTTTATTTGTTAAATCCGGCAACTCTAACAAAAGTTTTCAGTATGGTTTCAGCACAATTTCAATCAATTAATATTTTCTGAGCACTTTCTGCCCAATGGTTAGGCTCAGAGGTGGCCTCAGGCAGGCCTTGTGTGTGTGTCTTTCACCATTGTAGCCACAGCTTCTAGCACAGTCTTTGGCATATAGTTAGTGCTCAATGAATATTTTTTGAAAAAATTAATCAAAGGAATAAAAGAAATCTAGAATATGATGAATTTATGACCTGTGTAACCTAGGTAGGAACAAAAGCTCACATATATAACAAGCTAATGTGACTAATGCTATCTTATTTTGGATTTTAACTAGTTAATTTACTTACTAGACTAGCTCATTTATGTAAAGGATCCAGATTCTGAATATGTGAAAGTTTACTCCCACTTCGAAAAGAAGTGATAACCGAACAGGAGATGGAACAACAGTCTTATCTAAATTTAATGCAGTCTTCTTAATTATCTATTTAAAACTGCCCTACTGGACATATTGCTACCTATCTTCTTTCACATACACTTTTGTTCTAATGTTCTAATCAAATAAGTCATGTATCTGTAATACATTTATTCCTGACAGGATTGAATTTGATCAAGAGGAAAACGAGTGTGTACTACTAGTCAGGTATAACATTGAGCCATACTATAAAGTAGAAATTATTGATCTGTATTGTTTCTCCAAGGAATTTATAACTCTTTATAACACTTTCATTTATAATAGCACTAAATAAAAAAGTTGATTAACGTAATATTTTTCCAGTGTAAAAATTGGGCATATGGAAATTCTTATTGTTCATTGTTAGTTTCACTATTTTGCAAAATATAATGATATAACACACAAGAAAATTTAATATAATCATAAATTCAGATCTCAGGATTGTAAGGACCTTAAGTATATTATTTATAATTGAAGCTATATAGTCTCTCCTCTTTTTTTTAAAAAAAAATATTTATTTATTTGGCTGTGCTGGGTCTTAGTTGTGGCATGTGGATCTTCATTGTGGCATGCAGGCTCCTTTAGTTATGGCATGCGGGCTCCTTTAGTTGCAGCATGCAGGATCTAGTCCCTGACGAGAGATCGAACCCGGACCCCCTGCATTAGGAGTGTGGAGTCTTACCCACTGGACCACCAGAGAAGTCCCTTCTCTCTCTTCTTCAGAAGAAAAACCTGAAGAACTATAGAAATTTGCAAGGAACAAAAACCCAACCACTCTTATTTATTCAGACTTCCTTGTGAGACTGACTGAAACAACAGTCTATTTATCTCACTTGCTTGAAGTTGTACTCAATTGAATTATACATTCAATCCTACCAGTTGTGTCCAAGCAATAGTATAACCAGAAAAAGTTGGAGTTCCAATTGAAAGAAAAGACTGATAAATTTAACTATATTAAAAAAAAAAGTATGGCAAGCAACACCATAAACAAAGTTATAAATAACACCATTCACAAAGTCAAAGTACAAAGAGCCAGTGGAAAGATTTCCTAATATATAAAGAGTTCCTATAAATCAATGAGAAAAAGACCAACAATGCAATAGAAAAATGGGGAAAGGACGAATGAGAGTTTGAAAAATAAAGAAAGAGAGAAAATACAAACAGTCCTAAACATAACAAAAGGTGTACAACATCACTCATAATAACAGAAATTCAAACGAAAATCATATTGAAATACCATTTTCATCTATCAAATTGGAAGAAATCCAAAAGTCTTGATAATGTACTCTGTGGCAATGCCATCGGGAACCTGGAACTCCCATGTATTGCTGGTGAAAGTATAGATTGGTATAATCTGTAGAGAGTGATTTGATTATATGGGTCAATATCACAAATGCCCATACTGATTGACCTAGTAATCTCACTTCTAAGAATTACTCTCATAGACATACATTCACAAGTGAGAAATCAAGGTAATTCATTATTGCATTGTTTGTAGTGGTACAAAGTTGGAAGCCTTTGAAATTTCTATTAAAAGGGAGCTAGTTAAATAAATTATGGTATATCCATACAATGGAACAATATGCAGGCATAAAATGAATAAGAAAACTCTCTGCATCGATGTGGAAAGATCTGCCAACATAGATCTGAAACAGCAAGGTGTGTAGTAGTGTGGAAAGAAGGGTTAAACAAATAGTATATACATGTTTTAAAATTTACTTCTATTTGTATAAATAAACTGGCAGGATATACAAGAAACTAATAAAAGTGCTTACACGTTTTCAGAGGTAGGGAGGGTGGAGATGGGGCAAATGGGTGATGGGCGTGAAAGCAAGACTCTTCTGTATACCTTTTTGTATGTATATATTTAAAGTTTGTGAGTCATGTAGCTATTACTTATTTAACAACTAAATAATAAAAAAGAGAATGGCATTGCATCGGCCCAGAAGCAAGAGACAGCTTAAACTCTGAGGGGAACTTCAGGGATTCAGACTGACACCTGTGTGTAGAGTATGAAAATGGAGAGTGTGAGCGATGAGAGGAAAAGACGCAGGAGGTGCCACGGAGGAGGCCTGATCACTGAACTGTGTCAGAGCTGGCAGGTGGGAAGGAGTCAAGCCAGGGGAGCAAAGGTGATTTCTAAGTCTTAGAATGAACAAACTCCCTGCAGAGGAGGGAGCCCAGGAATGGATCTGGGGAAGGGCCCAGGTGATTTCTAGGAGCCAGATCTAAGTAGAAAGGAGTGGAGGTCAGGACTATATGTAATGAGATAAGCAAGACGCACATCTTCTAGAGCCCAGACTGTATCCTCTGGGGTGTGGGGTAGGGAAGACTTCTTCTAGGCAGCATTTATGCATTCTCGTGCTTTGTCAGCCAGCCCCAAACACATCTTTACCAAGAAGCCATGGTAACTTCCAACAACTTATTTGCCCCCTGTGGTCTTATTTCTAAACTGTGCTTTTAAGATCCCCAAAGATTGCTCCACTTGGAATAAGAAGACTTGGATTTGAGACCCTGAGTGACCAGCTGTTTTGACCTTGGGTAAAACACTTTGAACCTCACAGTTTTGAACCTCAGTTTTGCCATCTGTGAAATAGACATGCAGAGACAAGCCATAGTCTGCTGTGTTTTGTGAAGCTCAGGTGCAGCTTTAGAAACTCTAAGGTTTCTGTGACAGGTAAGGGACTGATTACTGGCACTATTTTTGTCTATGCTTCAGTCAATAGACACAGCTGCGCATTCTGCACCTAGATAAGATGGCCATGCATGGTTTGCTCTGTGCTGAGTTCGAAAGAGCAGGGCATGAGGAGGTTTCACAGCTGGAAAGTGAAGGAGAATGCCCTGGAGTTTTGAGGGAAATCATATTTCTTTCTACACTACGCGTTTCAGGGAAGACTGAACAGAGGGAAGCACTGGGGCAGTCTTCATAATTTTGAGTGTCATCATCCACTTAATTATTATTATAACTATTTTACTAGTGAGTGAACTATTTTAATTATCATTAATAACAACTATTTGTCTCATTTTAGCTAACATTTAGTGAGGGCTTAACTACTGGCCAGGCCCTGTGCTGTTTTATGTACATTTTCTTATTTAATCCTCATACGACTTCACTAAGGCAGAAAATGTTATGAAAACAATTCTACAAAAGAAGGAATGGAATGGTTAAGTAATTTGCTCAAGGGCACGCAGCTGGCACCAGAAGAACCACGATGCCCTACCAGTCACTCTGACGTGGAACCCATGTTAACCTCTATGCCGTTCTGCTTCTTTAAGGGAATATACATCCAGTTGAGGGTGGGAGCAAGAGTGTCTGTCTTTCTGCACTGTGAGTTTTATTCATATTGTTAAATTCATCAGGCAATACTAACAGGTTTGGCTGCCTCCAAATCTGTAACTCAGCCAAGGTTTTGAAAAAATGTTTGACATTCTTACCACCCAATCTTACCACCTGCGCAGCCATGTTCTTCCAAGTCTATCTCAGCCCCGACCCTCTACCATCGCCCATAATACACATTTGAATAACGAATCAAATTTTGTGAACTATCATGGGAATGAAAAATTAGTTTGAGTAAAAATACTTAGCATTCATTCAGTAAATTCTAAACTCCTATGATATTCTAGGTACATGGATTCCAAGACAAATGTGGATAGAGCAGACTGGCAAGTTCCCAATCTGGTGAAGTGGACAGACATGTCAGTAAATACAATAGTCCCTCCTTATCCGCTGTTTCACTTTCCGCAGTTTCAGTTTCCCGAGTTGAACCATCGTGTGAAAATATTACATGGAAAATTCCAGAAATAAACAAGTTACAAGTTTTAAACTGTGCGCTGTTCTGAGTAGCATGGTAAAATCTTCCACTGTCCCGCTCCATCCCGTCTAGGATGTGAATCATTCCTTTGTCCAGCATGTCCATGCAGTATAAGCTACCTGCCAATTAATATAGGAAGACACGTAGTATGCATAGGGTTCAGTACTATCTGCTGTTTCAGGCATCCACTGGGGGTCTTGGAATGTATTCCCTGCAA